AAAGGTATTCTATCCCAACTCTCATATCTAGAATAGAAATATTCCAACGAAAATAATAAATGTGTCTTTTTTTTTCCAATGAAATATGCTACTGGTGTCTCATGGAATCTTTACTTCAGTAGCATTATTCTGGTTTTCTACTTTGTGGGAAAAAATATCTAGTAAGATTGTGTTACAGTGGTAACTATTCTGAAATCTGCACTTATACTATCAAAGCAGGAAAACTATATAAAGAAATTTAACCAGACATTTTTGTGTATAATGATACAGAGGTTGTAGAACATGAAAATTATGGGGTTTCATGGTAAGATTTTGAATAAAAATATTTATGTGTTGAAGATAAGTGTCCACATTTTGGGGGCAAACTATGATAAATGTTATTTTAAAAAAAATCATGTTATGAAGCCCATTTTTGTTCATAAAGAAGACATAATGTCTTTAAACATCTGTTTTCTTGTGCCTTTTCAGAATTTGAATGAGGGATTGGGCACCCCAGTGGGAAAATAGAAATCTCTGATTTCCGAGAAAGCAAGCTCCCATTTCTAGCTCTAGAGAGAAATGTGCTAATAAACTTTAAAATCACAGTGTGTTTGTGTATAAAAACTTGTTACTGATCCAGGACTGATTCTTCTATAGCTTTGGCCTCTAGCCCAATTGCCTCAGAGAAGAAATGCCAAATCTGTAAAGAGAAGGAGGAAACATTTTTATGGCAATTTGATTTAACAAAAACAACAACAACAAAGGAATCCATTTGAAGCAATTTACGGATTAAGAATGCAAAACTTGGGTTTGATGGGACATCAGGAGCAGAACAGATGAGGCAGTAAAGTTACACAAGAAATTAATTTATACAATGCACTTAAATATTTAGTTCTGTAGTGCATATGTATTTATCTCTGTATGAACAAGAAAACAATCCTATATCCAATTTTTATTCTTGTAAACCTACAACATCTAAATAAATTTTAAGTTTTATATTTGTGTAAGTCAGCACTACCTAGGCATTTAGCCACTGGTTTAAATTAATTAATTATAGGGTGATCTAAAATAAAGAATATTCCTCTACAACACTCTGGCTAGAGGTGAATTTGCTCTTCCAATATTACTCTAACTAGGAATGAAATCGACTTTAAATTTAGAGAGAAATTTCCTAACTGCAGAATTAACTGTTAAATTACACCACTTCTGTATAAAATTAGAGGAAAAAAAACCTTGCCAAATAAAATAAAATGAACACATCGAGAATTGTATTAAGTAAGCTCTCAGAAATGAAATAAATTCTGAGATATCCAAAAATGGCTGATAATGGACACCTGACATTACACCCTCTGCTTAAAGGAGATTCTCTAAAACATAGTCTATAGAAATCCTCAACTATGGACTGAGATGGCCCATCAGTAAGGATTTCTACACGTCAGTCTTAGGAAGGAAACCATGCATGTAAGCTTAATTTTTGTAGAAATTAATAGTTTACATGTTACTGCATACTCAATTTCTGACATAAGTCAGGATGTTGTCAGTGCATTTGACCTGTCTCATACAGGCATATTTATTGCTACTTTGCACCAAGGGTAGTTACGAAATTATTAGGTATGCTTTAATCAAAGGGTAATTTTTGCTCCATCACCCAAAAGACAAATAACTCTAAATTGCAAAATTCTTTTCGTGACAATTTTTTTTTAATGAACCAGTAACAAATGGCACTTAAAATAAAACAGTCTATCAGGATTTTGACCTCAGAAATATCAGTGCCCTAGCAAATTGATGAAGCCTTCTGTTTCTATTCAGTATACATAAAGATATTCAAATACAACAGTAAAGGATATTAATTAAAGTCTTAATTTGCATCTATATAAAATACACAAATAACAGAAGATAAATTTTCTTATGTGCACATGTGCATAACCTGTGTTTATTAACCATTCCTAAATGGTTTATAAAAGGAAATGTAATGTACAAGCAATGATCAAATTATTTCATCAAAACACATAACTGTATTTCTTTCAAACTGTATAAACCCCAATAGCGCTTCCTCGGTGCAAGAACGAATAGATTATAAAGAACTAACACCTTCTGGGTAGGTGATAACGGTTTGTGGTTTTGCAGCATGAAGGTCCTGTAGCTCACATTTCCTGAATGGCTCCCATAACAAACTTGTGAATCCACTTTACTGAAAGAATAAAAAAGAAAATAAGAAAATGCAGCCATCCAATTCCCCCTTTGGAAGGAATTAACATTTTGGATGTTGCTATACATATTTCTCCCAGCCTATGCAAGGGAGAAAACCATTTAGGACCAAAACTCTTAAGAAAAAGCAAATATGTCAACATTAGTGCAGGATCAGTACCGTTTGAAGGAGTTCACAAACCTAATCTTAGTGTGATCATTTGATTTTCACACATTGTATTTCAGGTAGTCATACTGGATCATAGCCAAGCCTCAACTAAACGTCCCAGAAAATTAGAGGACTTCAAATGTTATAATGCTTCAATCAGAGGGAAAGTTCCAAATAGATCTGTAGCTCACCTAAGTGGTCTGAAGCTGCCAGCTGCAGAGATTATACAGAGGAGAGCCTGGCTTTAGAGTGACAGCATCTTCACTCTCTATTGGTGGAGCACGTGTGCTAATGAGATTGTAATTCCAAGTGATTGACTTAGAAGGAAATGCAGTAGAGTGATAAAACACTAAGGCAGATTATTGATACTGCAAGTAAATAAGTCAGTAAGTGTTGAAGTATGATTTTTGAAATAAGGATTAGAGTTCCATTTTTTGCATGCCCTTTGTTATTTAATCAGACTCATCCTGACTATCTTGAAACTAAGTTCATATCCTTACCCCACCATTGTAGTTAATCATTCTGATGTTTTACCTATTTTACAGTGTTACAGGGCTTGGATTAATTTCATTTTAACGCATTATGATTTCATACAGGTGAGTTGCTTTTTAGCAGATGATGTTGATTTCACTGCACAATATATCTCCAAGAGTAGGAAAGAAGAGTTACTAAGTACCTTAAAGGGTAGCACCGATGCATGCAGTGCTTCTGAAAACCTGTGATATTGCTAGGCCTGCCAAGATTCAAGTTGCTCTGTATCAATAAGGATTAAGAGATTTATTCATGGTATCACACTTCACTTTAGACTTGCATTCAATATCAGAAATAAGTACGAAACTGGTAAAAGTCTGGCTTAGAAATCACCTAGTCCAACTCCTCTGCCATGGACAGGAACATCTTGCACTAGATCAACTAGTGCAAGGGTGTAGTGGGATGCCCTGTCTAAGAGGGGATACAGCAACTCAAACTTAGTTATCAGTAGTGCCTTGAGCAAGGAGAGCCTGCTGTTCTTAGTGCTGAAGAATGCTGAGACCAGTGTGATCAAACTATCAGACCCATCACAAGGACATGCAAGACAAGAGGGTCCCTGAATGAAGCTGGGAGCAGCAAGGATGTGCAGATCCTGATATGGATCTGATATGGAGTGTCAGAAGTGCTGAACAGAACTGCTAACACCTTTTTCAGCACAAAGCATATTTTCCTGAGTAAGTCTGACAACAAATGATCTAAAAAATGCATATGACTGTCAACCACTTTATACCAAAAAAGGCCAGTCTCACTTTTGCACAGCGAAGACATCTAACGTACCTCCTTAAAGTGTGTGAAGATACTTTCCTTGTGTGGGAACACCCTTCAAGGTTACTTCCCAAGGCTGATTGAAAGAGATTTGACCACGGGGATTGGTATAAATAAATAACATCAATCTCTATTTAGTTATTGTTTTGCTAGCTTTAATATTACTTCAATATAATTGCTTTACTATAATCGCTTCTATCTTGCTTCAAAAATAGTGCACTGTACTAGTAACTACATCCATACTGTGTAGTAAATAATTCTGATTAAGGTATTTTTGTCTAATCATTGTCATTATTGTAATCAATTTATATAAATCACTTATTTTATTTAGATAAATATGTTTGGTTTTCCATCCTTAATTCTGAGGGACAAGATTATAAAAAGGTCCAATTACACGTGTGTAATCCTTTAGCCATAAACCGCTGAAAAGTCTAGGGCTAAGGTTGGATCCAGCTGCACCTAGGCTCCTCTGTGAGCAGGGGTTTAGAAAGCAAGGGGGTCCTTTCTGCACCTCATGACTCAGGAGGAGGGCTTCTCTTGAAAACTTTGTCTGAAGCTCCTGTTCTGTCTGAGACAAAGAGCAACTAGGTTACACAAAATCTCATTCAGCCTGACCAGAAAAAACCCTACCTTCTTTCAGTTAAAAATGCTGTCCCTTCTTCTGTCACTTACAGGCCCCATTAGAAAGTCTTCATCTTTCTTATAAGCCATCTTTATATATTAAAAGGCCACAATACAATGTCCCTAGAGCCTTCTTTTCTCCAGGTTGAGTGTCTCAACCTATCTTCATAGGAGAGAAGCTCCAGCATTCTGACCATTTTCACAGTCCTCTTCCAGACCCCCTGTAACAGGTGTATGTCTTTTGCTGGGGATCCAGACCTGGACACAGTACTTCAAGTGGGTTTCACAAGAGCAAAGCAGACGCCTGCTGGCCATGTTTCTTTTCATGCAACATACAGTATGGTTCATGTTCTGGGCATACTGCAAGTTTATGTTCAGTTTTTCATCCACCATTATCACAAGTCTTTCCTTACATTGCTGCCCTTAATTCATTTATGCCCCAGTCTGTACTGTTACTGGGCATTGTCTCAACCCAAGGACCTTGTGCTTGGTCTTGTTGAACTTCATGACGTTCACATGGACCTACTCCTCAAGCCTGTCAAGGCCCCTCTGGATGGCATCCCTTCACTCTAGTAGATCAGCTGCACCACTCAGCTTGCCATCATCTGCAGACTTGCTGAGAGCGCACTTGATCCCTGTCTGTGACATTAATGAAGATATGAAATAGTATTGGTCCCAGTATGGACCTTTGAGGTGATGCCAAATTTATGCCCCAAAGAAGGCGTAGAGAGACTGCTCAGAGACAGAGTTTTCAGTCTATAAGCAGGAGGTATTTATTTTCACGGCCGGGAAGCGGCCAGGTCGCCCTGGACAAACCGCTTCCCCGAGGAACTTACAATTTGAGCTTTTATACACTTTTTGCTAAGCAATTACATCACATATTATGAATATTCATTACATTGCAACATCTACTTTTAATATTCATAACAGGCGGAGTTGAGGCGGAGTTAGAGGCGTGGTCTTCAATTTGGGGAGAACTTTGGTGGTCGTTCCGTTCTTCCTTCATCATGAACCTGCTGTCCTCACCATCATCCTCCTCTTAAACTTTTGAACCTTCCCTAATTTGGGTAGTTTCCTCGTGCATTTGGCAGGGATTTCCAGTGTCTGGCAGAAGTTCCTGATTTCTTGGCTTGTCCCTTTTCTTATCTCCCTTTGTTTTCTTCCATATGTCCTTTTTTGTGTGTGCTAGCATTTCTAGTTCTCTCCGTTCATGCCCATGTTCCCTCATGTCAAAGTGACCTGTATCCTAGTGGATTTATTGCCTCCACTGTTTCCTAATACTGAGCTCTATGTGCTTTGCTGAAAGCCTGCATTTGTGCTTAACTCTCTCTAATCCTTACATTGCTTTACTAAATTCACTTCTCAGGTGTTACCTGGCTTCATTCCCCCCTTTTCTAAAACTTACGAATTCTTTCGTCAAGTTCTAATTCTAAAGGGCGCTGATACGCTTTTACCATCGCCCAGATTATTTGGGTTCTTTTGACTATGGACTTTAACTTACACTACAGGCATATATTCATAAGGGTTAACAGGAGCATAGCCATGGTTATAATTAGCACTGGGTGTATCAGATAGTGAAAGACTTGTGTTGCTGTTGGGGAGTATCCTGTGAAGATATCCTGCCAGTGATGTTGACCTACTTGTGCGACTTTTGTCAGGATATTTTTATACTTTTGAATTATGCTCTACCTGCCACAACATGCGTTGAGTTGTTTGGTTCACTTTTTGAACTAGCTTCTCCACTTCAGGATGTATGATCATTTCTTTGAGAAGTTTAGTATCTATACCTATCTTTAGCTTGGGTATCTCATGATATAAAGTATACTCAGTTTCGATTAACTGTTGTGTAGTTATGGGAGCAGTGTAGTTAAAGTCACAACCTATGACTTTTGTGAAGTTGCATATGCAAAAGTTAGTATCGTTAGTCACTTCATGACAATTATCTATGGTAACATCATTGCAAGTGGTTCTAATGCAAGCGCATCCGTTCCCTATATAGAATACTTGTGATCGCGCTCCATTGTGCGGAAGCATTTCAAAAGTGCATACACTGTTTTCAGCATCTAAGCATAGGTCCTCAGCTTCTACAATGGCATTTTCGCAGATATAACCTAATTGTCCTTTAGGAATACATGCTTCTGTACTAATTGATTGCCACTTGTTCTTAGTACTATCATAATTTGCCCAAACGTTATGGTCCACAGGTTTGACAATGACATTCTGATGCATAGCTCCTAATGTTAAAACAGGAAATATAGCTCTTTCTTCTGCGGCACTAATAGTAAGGACATAGGTTTCAATGTGTTCCTGTTGTGGATCATAAGTAAAGTTAACTAGTTGCCACTGAGCCTGGTGGTCTTTTTCAAATCGTGTAGTGGAGCTATCTCTTAGTATTGTTTCTCTTATTTCTTGAGGCAGTATGCCTGACATTCCCTCTCTTAATATTCCTGCTGCTACTGATTGTATCCATTGTTGTGTCTGAACACACTGGATAGCAAGTGCAATTTCTTTGCTAATATCTCTAGTATAGTCAGCAATTTTAACAAAATCTTCAGCAGTGTGGTTGGCTACTAAGGTCATCAATCTGACTACCAATGATTGTGTCTCTGCTAAAGTTAGCATAGATGAGCTTAAAGCTTTCCCAAATTAGAAGTGACGGTACTTAACTTATTCACTAATACTTCTTGGTCTATAGTGTTTAATATGCCAAACCGCGTGCCAACCCATCCACTTATATCTCTTTGTGTTTGTTTGCGGTATGACCTAGTTGCTAACCAGGCATTCCAGCCTTTGAGGCTTTGCTGTATAAATGGTTGACAATCTTTCTGTAAATGTGTAATGTCTGTCTGAATGTTTATCTGTACTTTGTTCAGAGAATATGTAGGATCTAACAACAGCTTTAGTTCGTTCAATTGTCTTATTACTTGAGGCCCTATAAAGGTTAAATTATGTATCTTTTTACATTCTAAAGGTGGAGTGGTTTCACGAGACGGGCTCACAATTGAGTCTGTTGCTAGTCTAATGACTCACTTAAAGGTTCTACCAGTTACAATGCCTTGTTCACCAATGGGTTCAAGAATCTTGGCTTCCCTGCTACATGAAAACGACATCGATTGATCTAGTTTGAATATAATTTCACACTTTACTCTACCCCCTTCAATACTATCTCATTGACATGAGACTGGTCTTTTCCACTGAATCTAAACAATGGGCTCTTCATCTCTTACTTGGCTATAAGTGATTAAATTCTGTCTAGAGGCTTCTTGCCAAAATTCAATTGTCAATACTAGTTTATCTGTTTTTCCCATTAAAGCCTCGACCTCTCGGCACCCTACTTGAATTTGGTCCCTCTTTTGTGCTATGAAATGGGTTCCGCTATCCCATTAATCTATTGTATAGGGTTGATTGTTATGTAAAACGTAAATCTCAAAATCTGGGTTTTCCTCAGAGCGTGGTAGTGTGCATGCACTAGACTACAGCTCTTCTGGAGTAGGGTTTTGGGATAAAACAATACTTATCAAGAGTCCAATGGTCAGTGTTGAAAGGGTTTGGAAGGGAGTCGGATTCATGATGTTGGGTCTTCTTGCTTATCTTCCGGAGCTCTCTTGACTCGAGAATAGTGAATCCATGTAGGTCGCTCCTTGATCCTCACTGTGGTGAAGGTGGTCAGCAGCACTTGGAAAGGTTCCTCCCACTTGTCTTGTAGGGGTTTTCCTAAAAGATTCTTAACATACACTCAATCACCGGGGTTAAACGGATGCAGTTTACAGTTAGGTTGTTTGGGCTGGTGTTCTATTACTACCATGGCGTTTTTATCAAAATGTTTCCCTACAGCAATTACATAATCATATATATATTGATTACTTATTTGGTCTATAGCATCGCTATTCACAATTTGCATAGTATAAGGTCTACCATACAGAATTTTAAACGAGCTCAACTTTTCTTTTGATCAAGGTTTGACTCTCAATCTAATCAGAGCAATAGGCAAAGCTTGATACCATTGGAAGTTAGTTTCTTGGCATATTTTAGCAATTTGTTGTTTGATAAGATGATTCATCTTTTCTACTTGCCCACTGGCTTGTGGCCTGTAGGGCGTATGCAATTGCCATTTAATCTGCAATGCTTTGCTTATTGTTCTCACAACCTTCGCACAAAAATGTGAACCTCTGTCTGAAGAAATACTTCTTGGTACCCCAAACTATGGTATAATTTCATTTAGTAAGACTTTAGTTACTTCTCTTTGTTTGTCCTGCAGGGGAACGCTTCAGGCCACCCAGAAAATGTATCAGTTAGCACCAATAATACCGATACCCCCCTTTTCTTGGGAGTTCAGAGAAATCAATTTGCCATACTTCACCTGGGAATTTACCTCGATTTATTGCTCCTTAGTGTATCTTGGTCCCTGTGTTTGGGTTATTCTTCAGGCATTGTTTGCACTGGGATGTAACCTGTTTTATGGTAGTGAATAATTTTGGTCCTGCTATTCTAGTTTGTAAATACTGATAAAGTGGATCTAAACTCCAATGCACCTTCTCGTGTTCCGTTTTTACGAATTGCCACATTAATTTTTCTGGTATTATTAGCTGTCCTGTTTCCAATTGACCCCTTCCATTATCTAACAATTTGCTTTTGTTCTTTTGAATCCACCTACGGTCTGATTCCTGATAATCTGGTTGAAAGTTAGGATCTAGCTCTCTTGGTACTAAAGCTGTTACAGTCACTTCTTCGGTCCTTGCAGCAGCTAATTTAGCTTCTGCATCAGCTTTCCTATTTCCTATTTCTGGAACAGTGTTACCTTTCAGGTGTCCCTTGCAATGCATTATGGCCACTTGTGTTGGGAGTTGGACTACTTCTAACAATTGTAGAATTTCCTCTGCATGTTTGACTGTTTTCCCTTGAGCAGTTAGCAGTCCTCTTTCTTTCCAAATTGCTCCATGAGCATGCACGACGGAGAAGGCATATTTTGAATCTGTCCAAATATTAATCCGTATGCCTTCTGCCAATTCCAGAGCTCGGGTAAGAGCTATCAGTTCTGCCTTTTGGGCTGAGGTTCCTGCAGGTAAAGGATTTGATTCGATTACCTCTTCCGTTGTGGTTACTGCATAGCCTGCCATCCTTACTCCTTGCTTCACGAAGCTACTGCCGTCAGAGAACAAGTTGTCTGTATCTTCTTTGAGGTCTGGGTGGCTGGAGTAGACAGCTTCGATGGTCTCTAGACAGTCGTGTTCGATTGATTCTGCCGACATTCTTCCTTCTAGAAATGAGGCTGGATTCACAATGTTAGTGACTTGAATGGTTATATCATCTGACTCAGCTAGGATTGCTTGGTACTTTAGGAATCTGGAAGGCAACAGCCAATGACCACCTTTTTGTTCTAGTACAGCAGACACAGTGTGGGACACTAACACAGTCATTTTCTGGCCCATCGTAAGTTTTCTGGCCTCTTCTATGTTTATGATCACTGCGGCCACCGCTTTCAGACAGCTGGGCCATCCTTTGCTTACTTCATCCAACTGTTTGGAGAAATAAGCCACGGCTCTTTTGTGTGGTCCCAACTGTTGTGTCAAGACTCCTAAAGCCATTCCTTGCCATTCATGAGAGAACAGCTAAAATGGTTTTGTTACATCGGGCAGGCCCAAGGTTGGGGTTTTTATGAGTTCTTGTTTCAGTCTCTTAAAAGCTCCCTCTGCTTCGGGAGTCCAGACTAGGACACTCTTAGACTCTTTCAGCAAATCATACAGTGGTTTAACGAGTATCCCGTATTGATAAATCCATAAACGGCACCAACCTGTCATCCCTAGAAAGGCTCGTAGATCTCTCACCGTTTCGGGTTTAGGCATTTGGCAGATGGCTTCTTTTCTTGCTGTTCCTAGGGATCGTTGTCCTCTGGAAATTTCATATCCCAGGTACACTACTTTTTCTTGCACCAACTGCGCTTTCTATTGAGAGACTCGATATCTACTTAAACCCAGGAAATTCAACAGAGAAATAGTCCATTTAACACATTCTTCTTCTGTCCCAGTTGCTATTAGCAGATCATCTACATTAGAAGAGTACCATCTCTCTGTGGCCTTTGACCTTGAGGTAAAACTGTCCAGGTTAATTGAGTAACTCTCATTCTAAAAATTTCTCTATTATCAGTTTGATTCTCTTTCTTATCTTTTAGCTTCAGTGGGTATTGTTATAAAATCTATAATCTTCTATTTGTTTCTTAATTTTATGCTTAAGAGGTTTTAAAAAATAGGTTTTTTCTGGTTGGCCTGTCGCTCCCACAAATTTGTCACTTTTGGCATTAGTTCCTGATTCAAAACTAAAATATAACTCCTGTGTTGATTAAAAACTCTAATTCTTTTTCACTCTTAAACTTCCTATTTAATTTAGGACGGTCTCGTTTTCAGTGACTTATTTGCAAGCAATAGGAACACTGTTTTGACTTTATTCTGGTTTGTTGGGAAAGGAAACCTCCTCTTTCCTTTTCAGGGTAACCACGACTTCTGCCTCTAGTATTTATCTCCGGGAATCTTGAGCTTTGGGTTGCTACTGCTACCACTACAACTTTAACAACTTTCTCATCCTTTTTTTATTTTTTTTTTTTTTTTTTTTTTTTTTTTTCTTCTCTCTCTCTGTGGTTGTAATTTTCCAAGCTTCATTCATTACTGTCTCTAAATTTTCATCTGCAAGATGCTGGAGTTTTTGCAGCTTCTTTCTAATACCTGGGTTACTCTGTGCCATCAATACTACTAGTAATTGTTGTTTGCCTGCTTTTGACGCAGGATCTAAGGGTGTATATTTTCTCATGGCAGCTCTAAGTCTGTCTAAGAATTCCGAAGGCGTCTCATCTCGCCCTTGTCTAACATTATAAAGAGCTGCCCAGTTAATTATTTTGCTTTCTCTCCCTCCTTGTCCTTGGTTTTCTGTTCAGCAGTCCTGGTACAATATGAATAGCCAATCCCTTCCTCTTGATCGTTCTCTAAGCTTTCGGTATCTGTTTTATCTTTATGCTTTCTGTCTGCTTTTCTTTCATCCTTTCCTGGTTTCTGAGGGTTACTTTCTTCCCTATCTCTTTCTGACTTTTTGCAGGGTGCTCTCTTTCTCCTCCCTTCCTGATTCTAGCAGGCTACTTTCTTTACTTTGCTGGCAATTATGCACTTAGCTGGGATTTCTCAATCTGTCCCACCACGTCATACACAGAATATCTATCTATAATGTACTAGTTACTGCTGACAAATGTTAATCTTTCAAGGACAGATTCTCCCTGGACCTTTCAATTATTTGAGCATCAGTAATATACCAGTTGATCCAGGAGTTGTGTTCTTGAACTGGTTTCCAGTTGCAAATATTTTAAATCACTAGAGGTTGTACTCTAGTTCGTCTCTTCTCTAAATTGATTGTCTGATAAATTCTTTTACACTATCACAGCAAGCTCACACTTTTCCTAATTTACTTCACTGTCTTAAAATACCTTTTACTTTGTCTCAGCACTTCATACATACAACATCCAGCTGCTTTATCTGTTTCTAGCTCTGCAATCGCTTCACGGTGATGCTGCATCTCCAACACTCACACACACATTTGCACACTTTTAAGTTCTTTAAAGTTTTCTATTGAATTACCACTTAAGAGCAGAATCAAACAAACTACAATTTTAACACAGACCAGAACAGCTTGTAAAAAGCAGCATATAAAAATGAAACATTACGAAGAAATCACAGTACATTATCTCTAGCTACCGCATTCCAGGAATTCTTCAGTTGGACTAGAGGCTTCTCCGGGTCCTAGAGCCCCTTGTCTCAAGAAAATCAGAAGGAAACACTCTCAAATCTTGAGACAGCTTAGAAGGGAATGTTAAGGACCATTAGTCTCCCAAATCTTTAAGTCAGACGCAACTTTAAATGCATTACTGGACATTATTCCACACAAAACAGAAAGCGGACGAGAAAACACAAAGCAAAAGCACTTTGAAGAAACACATTACCAGACAATACACAAAAGCACAAAAGGTACATCACTTCTCATATAGAACTCTAAACATTTAGCAAAATAGTTGAGCAAAATAGTCTATGACACTCACAATATTTTACAAAATAGTCTATGATACACAAAAGGCAAACAAAACAATACAAATAACAATCAGAATGCCACAAGTAATAGAACCTCTCTTTTTTTTTTTTTTTTTTTTTTTTTTTTTTTTTTTTTTTTTTTTTTTTTTTTCTCTGCTGTGTTGGGACTTTAACCCTTTTCTGGCAGGCCTCTAACCTGCTCTCTTTGCAGGACTCTAACCTGCTCTCTTTGCAGGACTCTAACCTGCTCTCTTTGCAGGACTCTAACCTGCTGCTTTTAATACCTGGGACTCGAACCCAGTTTTTAGGGCTAATGCCGAGGCGTCCCTCCGGCTCCCTTTTGGGCGATAGCGTCCTATCCCCACCAATAAAGCGCTTTTACCTAAAATATAAAAGATCAAATACCTCTTAATTTGGAGCAGGAGGTTCTTGTCCACCGTTGCGCAGATCCAAGGGGTCTGGGAGACTCTACCGACAATAATTCAGTCGGGGGGCCCCGAGAGCGTCCCGGCCCCTTGGGTCCTGGCTCAGGAAGACCCCCCCGTCCTGCCGCGGTCGCCAAGATTGATGCCAAATTTATGCCCCAAAGAAGGCGTAGAGAGACTGCTCAGAGACAGAGTTTTCAGTCTATAAGCAGGAGGTATTTATTTTCACGGCCGGGAAGCGGCCAGGTCGCCCTGGACAAACCGCTTCCCCGAGGAACTTACAATTTGAGCTTTTATACACTTTTTGCTAAGCAATTACATCACATATTATGAATATTCATTACATTGCAACATCTACTTTTAATATTCATAACAGGCGGAGTTGAGGCGGAGTTAGAGGCGTGGTCTTCAATTTGGGGAGAACTTTGGTGGTCGTTCCGTTCTTCCTTCATCATGAACCTGCTGTCCTCACCATCATCCTCCTCTTAAACTTTTGAACCTTCCCTAATTTGGGTAGTTTCCTCGTGCATTTGGCAGGGATTTCCAGTGTCTGGCAGAAGTTCCTGATTTCTTGGCTTGTCCCTTTTCTTATCTCCCTTTGTTTTCTTCCATATGTCCTTTTTTTGTGTGTGCTAGCATTTCTAGTTCTCTCCGTTCATGCCCATGTTCCCTCATGTCAAAGTGACCTGTATCCTAGTGGATTTATTGCCTCCACTGTTTCCTAATACTGAGCTCTATGTGCTTTGCTGAAAGCCTGCATTTGTGCTTAACTCTCTCTAATCCTTACATTGCTTTACTAAATTCACTTCTCAGGTGTTACCTGGCTTCATGTTCTGGGCATACTGCAAGTTTATGTTCAGTTTTTCATCCACCATTATCACAAGTCTTTCCTTACATTGCTGCCCTTAATTCATTTATGCCCCAGTCTGTACTGTTACTGGGCATTGTCTCAACCCAAGGACCTTGTGCTTGGTCTTGTTGAACTTCATGACGTTCACATGGACCTACTCCTCAAGCCTGTCAAGGCCCCTCTGGATGGCATCCCTTCACTCTAGTAGATCAGCTGCACCACTCAGCTTGCCATCATCTGCAGACTTGCTGAGAGCGCACTTGATCCCTGTCTGTGACATTAATGAAGATATGAAATAGTATTGGTCCCAGTATGGACCTTTGAGGGACATGCTATATTAGTGGTTTCCACCTGGACATTGAGCCATTAATGATAACTCTTTGGACATGGCCATCTAGTCATTTCATTCCCATCTAACAGTCCACCAGTCAAACACACATCTCTCCAATTTATTGGCAAAATTGTTAATGGGGGTCATGCAAATGTTTTACAGGGGTTTATGTAGACGACATCTGAAGCTGTTCCTTTTTCCACTGATGCAGTTACTCCATCATAGAAGGCCACTTGATTGGTCAGGCATTTTTACTTGGCGAAGTCATGTTGTCTGTCTAATCAAATCCCTCTTCTCCATACATTTTGATGTGCCCTCAAGGAGGATTTGCTCCATGATCTTACTGGTCACAGAGGTGAGGCTGATTGATAGTTCTTATGGTCTTTTTTTTTTTTTCATTTTTAAAAATTGGGTATAATATTTCCCTTTACTGATTGGTATGACTTTTCATACAAGATTGAGAGTACCTTGGCAACTACATCTAACAATTTCCTCAGGACCCTGGCACGCATCTCATCAAGTCTCACAAAGTTATGTATATACAGATTCTTCAGGTGATCTCAAACCTGATCTTCTCCTACAATGGGAAAAAATATACCAACCTCCTTTATCTAATAAAAGTAGTCTTTTAGATTATACTTATCTTAAATATCATGTCTGTAGTCTTTCTTGGTCTTAATGCTTCTAAAATTTTATGCTATATAAAATTTGCCAAAAATTTGTAATTCTTAAATCAGGTGACCCTTAGGATCAAAGATATCTTTAGAGATTGCAGGCAGATGGGCTTCTAGTAGCGAATTTATTCAATGTAGTCTTACAAGCTGCAGTTCTGCTGTTTATTTAGGTTCAGACTGGAACGGTCCTAAGTGCTCCTACTTTATTAAACCCTTTAGCAGCTGCAAATGGTCTGATGTTTACCATA